GGGTGGACCCAACATGGCACTGCATGTGGTATTTCTCATCTCGTTTCGAATAAATATAGAATCTGGCGCTCAGATGGAAGAACAGTGCCCATGCTTGCGATACTGATCATAATAATTATGACCAGTTCCTCCAGCCGTCTGAGCACCCAAATCTAAACCGCATCCAACCCCAAAGATAATGTCAAATCAGGATCAATAATACATGACATAGATTTTGTGAAGGTCAGACGAAATCAGTGCCCTACATCTTGGGTGACCCTTTTGTGAATGGAAATTAGCATCGACTTCTCTAATAGAATTTCCATACAGAAGTGAGCTTCGAAGTCAACACTGAGATTTTATTACGCCTGAAGAAATGATTTCTCTGTCTCTACTCTGATGTTAACTTCAGTGGAGACTGGATAATTATAACGACACTTCTTTGGGAGAGAACAACATTTCACCAGAGCGAGGGGTGTATACTCGTAATACTTCTACTCCAGTCCTGTGCAGAAGGATGTGTGTGTGTGTGTGTGTGTCTCTCTCTCTCTCTCTCTCTCTCTCTCTCTCTCTCTCTCTTTCTCTCTCTCTCTCTTTCTCTCTCTCTCTCTCTCTCTCTCCCCCCATTCTTGTCTCCAGACCTTGATGAGTGTTCTCTTGGTACACATAGCTGTGCTGCTGAAGCTAACTGCTCCAACACCCAGGGTTCCTTCATGTGTATGTGTAACCCTGGATTCACCGGCACTGGCATGGTCTGTCAGAGTAAGTGGCGCCGCCATCTTGTTGCCATGACTCCATTACACAAGTATCTACTGTAACCTGGGTAACGTTTGTGCTGGTTTTAGTTTGCGATTTGCGGGCACAGTTTTTGATTTCCTTTTTGACCTACCTTAATACACTCCAAGTCCGTTTTCCGAAATCCAAACTGTAGGTAGTTTCACAATCTGTTCATTACGGTGGCCAATATACTATTATAGTGTACTGCATGTAGTTGTACTTTTCAAAACCGGTTATCTACAGCAGATAATACTGCTAGCATTGGGAGGCTAGAACCGATAAGGCACTGCGTGTAGTATTTGTGGTCCGAGTTCAAGTAGTATTTCCTACCTCATTTCGATCCAGAAGGTACCATTGCTGGCGTACATTTCGAAGAACAGCAGGTAATACTACTGGGAGGGAAAAGGTAGAACCAATTTGGCACGGCATGTGATATTTCTCATCTCATTTGGAATAGACCAATCCCGAAAAGATTGTCTGGGTTCGTGAAAGGGGGCACGCGTGCAAGCCAGCACGTGTGAAGTGCATCGTTTTGTATTCAGTTTGTGTGTGTCAGTTCATGGCGGAGGAGAGAGAGACTTTTGCTCGCCAAGCTGAAGCAAAAGGATTTGATGGAGTCCTGCCAGCAGCTAGTCAAAGGACCTTCGGTACCTTAGGCAGACCCTGACGGAGTTTGGAGGCCAGATAGCTCTCGGTGAGGAGAGAAACATTCGCGTGGCGATCGACTCTCCGTAAAAAATGCAAGCTACATGGCGCCGACATACTGCAACAGCTACGATTTCAGCTAACTTCTCGATCTGCTGCTTCACAAATTTCAACTATTTACAAGTCCTAACTGTTGTAGTCTGAAGCTGGAGTCTCATCGCCCACCTACAGGTAGCTTTTGGAGCTGATGGATTTCCCGACTTGGACTCCTTCCGCGAACTCTCGCAACATTACTACAGTGTATGCTGTGTTTCCGCACGCTCGTGTCGACATGTCACCATACTGTACATGTACCGGGTCGCGGAGGAGCTTGACGACCTCCGCTGACTCCAGGTTTCCGAAATACTGCCGCCGTCTTCGTTGATGTCGCTGGTGACATTCTCCCCTTGCAGGACGTGCACATAGTTGTCGTCCCGGGGTAAAGACTATGTTGTATTTCGAAATAGTTCTTCATCACGCTCGCGCGAATGATTTTTCTCATCATGAACTCGTTCCGACGGTGTGACGCGGCGATGGTCTTTGGGGAGGCACTGGCTTGGCGAAAACGATATCTTCTTGTGCAATATAACATTGATCGGCTGCAGATGAGTACAGTCACTTCGTGGTTGATCCTATAGGAGGGCAGCTGCCAGGAAAGAGGCAGGACTCATCGAAGACGAAGCGCTCGCAACAAACAATAGCATTCGAAATATCTCATAAGATTTAGGGCCTATCGCTTTGAGCCACAGCGCTCACAGCCTTGCCTACTTCATCAAAGTGAGCTCTACATGTTCGTTGACCTCTTCACACTACACAGAAGAGCGAAACAAGGATTATGTCTTAGCATTTCCACTCCAACAGCAGACCATTACCAGTGCGAGAGAGAAAACTACAAAGGGCTTTGCTTTCTGTCGCATCGTCTCTCTTGCATGCAACTAAGGAGAAAACCGTGTACTTACCCTCGCATTCACACGCGAACTATCAAACACGTCCTGTGCCGCATGCTGATCAGGTAGTGCCATGTATGTGTTGTACAGTGTACTCTCAGTTGACATGCCCCCTTTCGAACCCAGACAATCTTTTCGGGATTGGTCTATTGTTTTAGAATCTGGCGCTCAGATAGAAGAACAGTGTTTATTCTTGTGACACTGATCGTAAATATGATCAGTTCCTCCAGCCGTCTTAGCAACCAAATCTAAACCGCATCCAACCCCAAAGATAATGTCAAAGCAAGATAAAAAATACATGACATAGGTTTTCTGAAGGTCAGACGAAATCAGTGGGCACCATCTTGGGTGACCCTTTGTGAATGGAATTTAACATCAACTTCTCTAATGGAATTTCCATACAGATGTGAGCTTCGAAGTCAACACTGAGATTCGATTACGCCTGAAGGAATGATTTCTCTGTCTCTACTCTGATGATAACTTCAGTGGAGACCGTATATATCACTATACTTCTTTGGGAGGGAACGACATTTCACCAGAACTTAGTGCGAGATCATCAAACACCTGAAGAAATTGCCCCTAGTTCAGGCTTGAAGCTTTTCTCTCTCTTTTCTCTCTGTACTCCCTTCTTTGTGGATTCTATTCCGCCATGGTTGGCTCTCACTCTTCGCCGCAGCTGATTATCTGGCCGTCTTTGAAGTGCCAAGAGATGTCTGAATATCTGCATAAGACCTTGGATACTCACATTTGCCATGCATGCCTTTGTGTGTGTTTCTGTGACTGCCAGTGAAAGCGGTGTGGCTAAGACCTTGGATACTCACATTTGCCATGCATGCCTTTGTGTGTGTGTTCTGTGACTGCCAGTGATAGCGTTGTGGCTTTACTTGTGTGTGTGTGTTCTGTGACTGCCAGTGATAGTGTTGTGGCTTTACTTGTGTGTGTGTGTGTGTGTTCTGTGACTGCCAGTGATAGCGGCGTGGCTTTACTTGCCGGCAACGCTAGGGCCTTTCAGCCGGTCGTCCATTGCAAGACGGGACGTATTGCATCCTTCCTACGAGGACGCAGTTGGACACTGCGCCACCATTGGCTATTACCTTGGTAGTGAAGAGAACATTCGGGATTGGCATGACAATCTTCGGAGCGACTTCATAACTATCGCACGCGATAACGCAGGCCCGTATTACACTGCCAGCTCAGCAGCCAACCCGAGAGTTGTCAGCATCTTTTCATCAGGCTCAGTAAAATTTAGCAATACCGATAACAGTCCGGGGAGGCCTTACCGGTCGCTCTGTTTCGGTAAGCCCCAATTCAGCAGCGTGCATTGAAAGTGTTGAGTCACTGCTGTGCTAGCACTGCAGTGTAATTCTTTGTGCCATCTTCAATAGGTCCGTCAAATACAGTTGTAGTAGGTTTTTCATTTTGACCCGCTTGTAGATCACAGCACGAACAGTTCACCAGCCACACTCCACGAAAGCAAGTAGTAGTACTCCTGACAAGTCTTGTTTCGTTCCATAGAGATAATAACGGGGAACTCATCAGAGGAGAAGCAGTTGTTGAATGAAGGGGTTTAGCTGAATAATGCTATTTTATAGAAAAGATATTGGCGCACTGAGGTGTAAACACTCAACTAACTCACATATGTGACATATCAACACAAAAGGAATAGTGCAGAATGGAGGTGTTCTGAACCCTACCAGACACAACTATCACAAGTGCTAAATCATTCACAATGAGAAGGAGAGGTACACAGGAATTATAGGTTGCGCTAGTTTACACGTCACAAATGGTACTGAGGTAGTGACAAAGATAGGTGAAAAGTAGACGCCAAGTGAAAGCCAACAAATCATCACGAATGTCTAACGTCACATCTGAAGATTGCTAGCGGCACAAGACAAATACTTCACAAACCTTGATAATTGAAATTCAGCCAGCGGTATAGTGAAAGAAAGGCTGCTGGGTGTGACATAGAACTGTGGGCTGCTGAGGCGACGTATCCATCGTGATCTTGACTGCAAGGTTGGCGTCTAACGCTAATATCCGAGCAGATTTCCTGGTCCAGGAGAAGTCATACTTCTCCTGGACCAGGAAATCTGCCATTGACCAGAGGAAGGATTTGATCTGCTGCTCGGATTTTAGCGTTAGACGCCAACGTTCTAGCAAGCCTGGCTTCAAAACAAACTTGAACAAGAATGATACCTTCCATTCATGAGCAGGATTCTGGCAAGTGATCATTGCTAGTGTGAGTTTCAGCTCGGCAAGCACACACTGTAAAAGTGTCCCGACTTCGAGCACCTGGATCTACCAGGTTCAAGTTCTACTAGTAACAGGAAGGGGATTTCTCCAGCCGTGCTGCGACACACTGTTAATTGGGAACTCGTGGCCTGGCACGAGAGAAACACTAATGCAGTGAATGGGATTTTGGTCTTTGACCAATTTGTGGTGGGTCTGATCTACTCACCTCCCGCCGCTTAGGAGCTGCATCTGCGCCTTGATGGTAGAGGGTGGTGGCGTTCCTACGGATGCGGGAAACTCGGCTTTCAGCCGAGTCTGAAGCGAACCGTAGTTTTGTTGTGTTTTTTGTTTTGCTTGAGAAAAGGAAATTGTTGTCATCCCATTGACGCAGTGCCTTCGTTCTCTTCTTTCCCGTGCGCTTATCTCCGTTTTAGTGTTATGTAATAACGGATTCATGGACACCTCAGTACCCAGTGCGCCTGTATGCAGGTGTCTACCAGGCTGGGTTGGCAAGCGATGTGAAAAACGTGAGTTTGGGAAATTCTGAGATGGTGTCCTGGTTTGGTTCTGCTTGGTTTGGCTTCTTTTTCCAACAATCATTCAGAAGTAGATACTCAGCTCAGCTCACAGACTAGTCAGTTTGAGCACTGTGGCAAGATGCTTTCAGGCATAGTTTAAATCTGGCTTTTGGTAATTTTATTTTTCATTCCTCTCCAGTTCGGCCTCATTTTAGCTGTGCTCCGCTCATGGGTCCACAAAGAACGGAACAGTTCTGCCTACAGATTGAGCGGATGCTTATTTAGGGAGTTTTGCGTGGTGAAAAGGGCGTAGCGGTGGGGTATAAATTGGGGGGAGGGAAGAATCGAAGTCATTGGTGATGCCTTCACAATCTCACTGGCTGCACTGTGATGGCGTCACTCGTGACGGTGTCATGACATCATGATGTTGCATGCAGATGATGTAATGATCCCGTTGGACACTGGGACGGTGTCTTTTGTGCTGTCATGACGTCACTGCAGTTGCTGCGTGATAAAAAAAGTGGTGAATATATACCTGTATGGTTCCGCTGTTTTCACTGTGATGTATTGTTTTGAATATAATCAACAGAGCATGGTAAGTCCCACCCGCTCCCCGTGACACCTACTCCGTTGGAGTTAAAGGGGCACTCCGGCTTCATTTTCGACGCCGAGTTTTCGATGCCAAGACGAAGGTAGGTGAAAGAGAAGACCCCTCGAACAAGAACGAGTCTCCAGAAGCGATCGAGTCGAGCAGGAAGACGACTTTTGAATTTCGCCGAGCGAGCGCTGATGACGTAATGAGGGATTAGCTTGCCAGTGGAAATGCATCTGCGCACATACATTTCACACACTTTTTGGCCAATTTTCAATCGAAGAGGAGGTTGTTTTCTATATTCTCTCATCGTCGTGAGCGATCCCGTCTTCTATACCCTTCCAGGTACCCTGAAGGTCCTCCAGAGGAGAATTTATCTCCAGCAACGCTTTGTTGATCCGCTAAATTCGTCTCGAGACATATTCACCCAGTGCAGTGCTGATAAATGTAGAATGTTGAATCTGTGATAATTGTCGACGACGGAGAGAGAGGTTGATAGCCGCTGTCGCAGGGAAAGTGAAGCTGCTGGAAGTAACAATGGGGGCGGCTTGTTAGCATCACATGAGCATCCAGACTTCAAAGCAGCTTGACGGAATCGGGGAGTACTGACTATTTGTCTCGATCTCAGTATTGTGAATTTTATGACCAGGAATTATTCGATCAGGATCCCTTCTACAAGATGTGTAGTACAGGTGATTTCTGAACTTGACGATATGGAGACGGACCAGTAGACCTACCAACAACGTGTACCTACAGGAAATTCACCCAAGGCTATTGCTATCCTCTTCAGTGGCTGTTGTTTTTTAGTAAAATTATGTTCACTTCTCTCAACATACTCCTGCATGGCAGCAAGAAGGTGCGCTATGGAATTCAACGCCACAATCTTCGCCCAGCTGTGGATGAAGCATGGTCAAGTCATGGCAGTACATATACTTGACAAAACAAATGAGAAATTGAAGTTCATTTGTGATGGGAAGTTTGACAGCCCCTGGCAGTGACGGAGTCAAGCGTTGTCTTTTGCCGTGGCACAAATTGCTGAAGAATCTGAGATGGTCTTGGAATTATACTACCAGAAATAATGGTGGCATGAACCATTGTGGAATCGGACAGCTCACGGAAAATACCGGAATAGCTCAAGTATCTCTAGGTGATTGTAAATCCTGTTCTGGCTGATGGCTTCGGCCTGCTGCGCCCGTCCATGTACAATGATGGTAACATGCATTTCTGTTTTCTACATATTTGCCGGCTACTGTACTGTGGTATTACAGTTGCAGGTCCCTTATATAGAAATATGTTCACCCTCCCCCCTCCCATATGCCCACATTATAAATATGAACTAACAATTTCACTGTTGAACTCGCCGGCGGCTAGAGAGCAAAGGATTAATTTACAGCAAAGAAAAGAAACAGGGAACTACAAATTACGCTATAATGTCCACGAACAATCTCACTGTATTTGAAATAATTTTGTTTGATACCCTGAGAACTCTGAAACTTTGCAGCACTGTGGATTATATAGTATGTGGATACAACATTTATGGAAGGAAAAGTGGAATAATTTCGAACACATTGTTCGAATAATTATAGCACTGGATTGTTGAGATTGTGAGCACATTCCAATCAGCACTCTACATATTTATAAGCGGTGGCAATCGTTAGGAATAGATCATGAGTTGTCAGAGTGCTCTAGTAAATGAGAGAATGTTTTGTTTGTCTAATCGACGGCTCGTTTGAAGCCAGAGTTGTTTCTGTCGACTTGATTCTAGACAGCAGTCGAAGGAGTACTATGAAGTGTACACCAGACGTGGTCCATAAGGTATCTCGTGAGAATTCTGTCGGTACACATCAGGTATCAGCTTGCAAAGATGGCTCCTCTCTGTTTCTTGAAAGCCTGTATAGTTGGACTGTGGCTCCAGCGATTCCCTTCTCAGAGCAGATACCATACCCAATACGGTCAATGCATATTGGACAGACCTGTGTGCACAACGGAAATAGTGGAGAGAAATCTCTCAGCTCATGAACACATCAGTGAAGTTTGAACTGCCGTTGTTTGTGGCCATCAGTATAAACCTATCGACTATAAGAATAATGTGCAAAAAAACCTCTATAATTACAGCTGGGGCCATGGAATTATAAAGCGTCTAACTTAGGGAACTGCCAATTCTGGTCTGAGTTGCGTTCGAGGCTTGCAATTCATGATGGCTATCGTATGTTGCATTGACCATAGATCATATAAGACTTCCAAATGCCACATAGAAACACGCCCCACTTTCGAGTACTTTGGTATCCCATGCCAAGTGAGCATTCGTTCCCGGGGTGGCAGGCGTCACCATTCGTCATGCCTGGATCAGATTTCATTGACCCCAACTGTCATGAAGAATCATTTTTACTTTCACTGGATTTCAGTACAAGTTGTAGAACTGCAGAATCAATTTCGTTGTATTTGGGCAACCATTTCTCTACAAACGCTCTATTTGGAAAATAGAATTTTTTTATAAAATACATGTCCAAATTCCACATCTACCCAAATCGGCCTACCTACTTGATCACGTATTCAGTACTACACAGAATGTTTAGAAAACGCATGAGGGAATAAGAATTTGCTAACGAGAACTCCAGGCCAGGGTACCAGCATACGAACAAAACAAAATAAAAACTCACCAGCATATTTGTAGTAATTCATGTCGGTGTAATATTCACGATAAGCAACGAGGCACCCTCCGATTTGGTCAAGTTGCTTTGAAGTCTGGTTGGTCAGGTGATACAAACGGGCTCCCCGTTGTTACTTCCAGCAGCTTCACTCTCCCTGCGACAGCGGCTATCAACCTCTCTCTCCATCGTCGACAATTATCACAGATTCAACATTCTACATTTATCAGCACTGCACTGGGTGAATATGTCTCGAGACGAATTTAGCGGATCAACAACGCGTTGCTGGAGATAAATTCTCCTCTGGAGGACCTTCAGGGTACCTGGAAGGGTATAGAAGACGGGATCGCTCACGACGTTGGGAGAACATAGCAAACAACCTCCTCTTCGATTGAAAATTGACCAAAAAGTGTGTGAAATGTATGTGCGCAGATGCATTTCCACTGGCAAGCTAATCCCTCATTACGTCATCAGTGCTCGCTCGGCGAAATTCAAAAGTCGTCTTCCTGCTCGACTCGATCGCTTCTGGAGACTCGTTCTTGTTCGAGGGGTCTTCTCTTTCACCTACCTTCGTTTTGGCATCGAAAACTCGGCGTCGAAAATGAAGCCGGAGTGCCCCTTTAAAAGCTGCCTGCAATGCATTGAGGGCCAATCATCGGTGTCCTTAGGGTACGTTGCAGAGAGCGCATTACATGGAAACGAAAAGCTGTGTTTTTCTTTTCACTAACATATAGGTGCTGTAGATGGTTTTGCCAGTACAATTTCGTGGGTTGTGCCCAACACCGGGCGGTGTAAACCTACGTACACCGCCCCACTGCAATGTGCCCAGAGCGGCCGCTACCAGTGGCAACCTGCCCAGGGCTCGTGCGACCAGTGGTATAGTAGCATTGCGACACAGCTACCCCTGCACAGCCCGGCTGCATCAGCCTTCCATCGCTTGGTCAGCGAGCTAACCGTGGCCGGCTTTCACCATCGTATGTCCGTCTGGCTCAACAACACTGGTGTTGGGTCCCTGTACAGCCTGAGCAGAGAGGCCCTCAGCGCTCCACATATCAACACTTCTGTCACCGGTGACCCAGTCGGAGATATAATCTGCCAAGGTCAGTTGTTGTATGAGATTGTATTTTGTATCGCAGACCAAACGGGCAATGAGGCCCAAAATTATGATGGCGATAAGGTCACGGCCAAAAGCCAAGAATACAACGAACCTCCACAAAAGAGGGAAATGTACAGACCACAAATACTCGAAAAGAAAAAAAGAAAAAAAGATTACCCACCGTAGTTGTGAATATCTATATGTTGATACGGTGCTGGCCGGAGAAATCCAAACCCATGTATAAAGTAGCACTGCGTTTGAGAGCACAGACCAGTATGCGTAGTGTTAGGGCTGCGTAGCGCGCGGCAAAATAAAATGAAGTTGGATTTCTGTAGCCAGTACGGCAGATGAGAAGAAGAAGCAGTGACGACCCGGCCTTTAATTTGTGGAATCCAATACACCACACCACCACATTGCGCTCTTGGCAGAGTTTGGATAGGTCAAGAGCGCAATGTGGTGGTGTGGTGTATTGGAGTATGGTAGATGTCGATAGGAAATCAAACAGTGTGGAATTAGCGTCAGTGTAGGGATGTTGTTCGTTGGTGGTCGATATGTGAATGGTTAGGTCCGCAATACTTGTTTTATGATAGCAATCCTAAGGTAAAAATAAAATAAGATAAAAAAGGAGAAGGACAAAATGTTGCGAGTCATGACTAACTGTCCACCAACGTAACCAGATCCTAATAATTATACAGTCAGCGAATTGAAGAGGGCTAGTCAAGAGAGTGCTAAATATTTTCACTGGCTCATAGAGACTGGGGCACTATTCAAGATAGATGTCTATTCAAGAGAGGGTTATAATCGTGCCAGTACGGTAGTATCAATCGGGATAAATAAAGTTTCTGAAGCTCGAAAAGCTCGCATGAGTGGCCATCCAGTAAAAATGCCTACTCGTGAACATGCCCAGGTGCAGCGTCTCAACAGACTTGTTCCGTTTCCTAGCCCACCTTGGTATGAACACAGTGGAACGAAATCACAGGCCCAGTACACGGTGCAGTACATGCACAGCTCCACGTGAGGATATTATGCTTTGTGTACTTTGTGACAATACTGCGACGTGTGCTCCTGCCACACAACAGCGCAAACAACTTGGTAAAGTTTCTGACTTCTTATACAAACGGAAAGGGCACAGGAGGAGAAAGACGATAACCAGCCTCGAGAAAAAGACAACGGAAAAGACACAAAGAAACAACAAAGAACAAGCAGTAATAAAGCGACGACAAATCGGGACGACCAATCAGGGACTAATACGTACAGAACACATGACCAAGACCAATACAACCAGACCACGGACGAATCACACATGACTCTCATTCCCAGACCAAACTAGCACTGCACATGTACAGCATTCACTTGACAGTCACTCTCACACAGGCGGAAGCAGATCCTCACACTCGGACACCGCATACTTGCATGCACCACATACCATAAACGTCACACATCACACCATGCTCATACGTACAGACCATACATGACATCAGACACTGATCTCTACGAGACGAGAACCAAATGCAACAACATGCGTAAATAATAGTCGAACGGAATTTCGCAACATAAGGAAGGTGGAGCACAATAAATGCACCGTGCTCATAGCTCTCTCCGTTCTGCCATGTTGTTGACAGCTGATTGGACACACACAAAGGTCATGTACATGCAGTGGCATGCGCGTGTGGCAGTCAAGGCAGCACCACCCGTAACCGCCGCTGACCTGTGGATGATCCCGGTGTTCTGTTCGGCCATGAATATGTCAATGCCGCAATACGACTCCCGCTTCCAATCGGGACTGTTCTATAACGCCATGCGTCAGCTCGGCTTCGCAGGCCCGGAGTTTAACATACCGGTGCAGTCCCTAACGTACGGCAGCAGCTTCTACATAGCAAGGATTTTGTCGCCATCTCATTCGCTGATCAATTTAACTCCTGGCAAATTACAACCGACGTACAGTCCAGTATGCATCAGTAAGTCACTACTTTGATGCATTTCAATCCTGCGGGGAATCCCCCCTGTTGGCTCAGGAGCATTTTACAACACTCAGCATGCCTAGAGTCACTACTCCAATGCATTTCAATCCTACGGGGAATCCCCTGTGTTGGCTCCGGAGCATGTAACCCAGATCCGAATTTTCAATTGTACTCATTATAATTATGACGTTTTCTCAAGATTTTTAAAACTAAGAAGATCATCACACCAAGAGTATAATTACAAGCTCACAAGAGTGTCAACTCTTGATACCATTTCTCTGGGGTTCGTCAACGGCAAAAACTCACATCACATGGCGTAGTGGTCCAGCTGTACGTTTCCAGTCTGTTGTTAGCGAGCAGCGAAGTAATAAAAAGCACTCCCTTGCAGAGGCTCGCTGTGGGTATGCTACTCACCAGCATGATCACGGCAGCTATTCGGATTGCGCACACACCATACTTTATTTGTGCACAGTACGAAACGTACCTGAGGCACGTGAGGTGAGTTTTTTTGCTGCCAGAGATCCATAATCTTAAGCAGTGTTGCACACTCTTGGGAGCTTTTATTTCTACTCTGACGCATACTTGTACATTACTAGCATCAGAATGCAGTAATTCAGAGGTGAGAATCCGGAAATAGTAAACTATCGGTATTTTTCTACTTTCCGATTTGAACGTCTACAGTTCAGCCCTGACCATGTCATACACGCAACTGTCCAAATCGAGCGCTGTGCAAGTTAACCTTGATATTTGTCCCGAAGAGCGCAGCCTGGCCGCATCATTTTGCTCAGACCATCTCAGCTGCAATTCTTTCAGGAGCCATTCTGCCCGGGGCCGTTTGAAACAGGATCTTGTGCGAAAATACTAGCGGTCCTGAGAATGTCAGTTCTGATTTGCATATAGCTAGGAGTGGACTGTGGACTGATAGGATGAAGAGTAGCCAACACTGCAAGTGCCCAGAAGTCATTGCTGAGCACTTTTATATCTATTAGAACCATATCCCTCACACACTAATACTCAGCCCAAGGCAACAAGGAATTGTTTTGGAGATAGTGTGCTGCTTCGAGTAACTGGTCTTGCAATGCAAAAGGTCGAAGAGCTGGAAAGCAATGCCAGGCCACTGGCAGCAACTGGCTCACGAGGAGCCGCAATAAACCCACATTGTGCCACAATGGGGTTGCAAGGCAAAGCCAATGCAATTGGCAACAACTGGCTCGTGAAGAGCTGCAACTAGCGTAGCAAATTACCAGTTAGGAGCGCTAGAGCTAAATGTTCCCTAGTACCATTAGCAAGAGGATAAGATGGGAGGGATGGAGGGTGAAAATTTGATGCTGGCACAAGCTAAAAGTCACCACTAATTAGACTTTGAAGTGAAGCCAACAGCAAGAAAGAAAGAGAAAGTTCAAAGGAAGCAGTTGTGCGACGTCAGGCTAAGTGCACCCAAATCCATGCGGTGGTAGTGTGAGTGCAGTGAGCGAAAGTTCAAAGGAAGCAGTTGTGTGACGTCAGGCTAAGCGTGCCCAATTCTATGCGCAGGTAGTGTGAGTGCAGTGCGCAATGCACTGATGCAGCGGTGCGCGGCAGATGCAAACATGGCAGTGTGACCGGTGGATGCTAACCCACACTAACTGCATTACTGCGACTTTTGACATAGTGGGGTAGTACATTTGCTGTTTGCGTCATGCAGAGCTCACTGACTTGTCAGTTTGAGCACTCTGGCAAGGTCCGTTCAGGCCTGGTTTAAATCTGGCTTTGGAAATCTATTTCTCATTGCTATCAAGCTCGGCCTTATTTTCTCTGTGATGCACTGATGAGGTCCACGAAGGACGAAACAGGTCTGTCCGCAAATTGAGTATTTGATATAGCATTATTGTCAATTTGGTTGAGCAGCACGCGGCTCACCTGTGTCAGGGTAGCGCGACCAGTGCCAGTTGTGTGGCCATAGGTGGGAAGACTGTCGATCTGCTGATGATGATCCCCAGCATTAACATTGGCAATGCATAGGAGTGGGTTGCGGTCGATGCACCTGGGCTAAATCCCTGCTTCAGAAATACTCTTAGAAGCCTCATCATTGCCATGCTGCCGACATTGTTAATTTGTTTTGTCTCTGCCTGTGAGAGGTCATCATAGTTCTAATACATTGTTGATTGGATGTGATCCGTTTGCTTTTGTGCTCACAGAGTTGTGCTCGGCACGTGAATCCTTGAGCGACTTCAATGAATGCCTGCCATAACAGGCACCTCCGGTACGTTGATCAGTTAATGTGTGTTTGAGTCCTTCTTCACCATGTGTTACTCCAGTTGGGGCCAAAGAAACCTGTCCCATGAGCAGAAAGCAGCACCAAGGCCTGTGCGGCCCTCGGATCGGTTTTGGAGCATGCATGATGTAATTGAATGGAAACGCGCCTCTGCTTTTGGACTCGTGGGTGGGATTTCTCTGGTCGCTCCTATAGTTCTTAACACATGTGGTATTATATGTTTTTCGCTCGGTCAGCGCTATCAGTGCATCATCGAAAAGGCAGCAAGAAATGGTTTGCTTTGCGTGCCCCCCCCCCCCCGTCCCCCTGAACATGCGACGTGTACATGTATGCTAACCGGAAGTGTTCCACTTCTTAGCAACACACCTTCTCCGGTTAAAAAGACTACGAAATTCATTGACAAAGAATAACGCGAGAAAAAAGATGCCAACCACATGATCGCCATGGTGACAACACCATGATCACCATGTTGACAACAGCATGATCATCATCGTGACAACATCATGATCACCATGGTGACAACGGCATGATCACCATGGTGACAGCAGTCCAGGTCTTACAGTACAGCGCTCTAGAGAAGTGTCTGTGGTCTTCTGGAGTGTGGTCGCTTTGTCGTTGTACGGGCTGGTCTGTATTCTTGGTTTATGCGTGCCCGAAAGCTCGTTCAGGTTTCATAAAAAGAAAAGCTTGAGTGCGATCATTCCGTGGTTGGTTTCACCCTCTCCTCAATTCAATTGGCTGTCTTGACACGCCACGAGGTGCAGAAATAAATAAATTAAAAATTAAAAATCATTAGATTGTGTGGTGGCATTGAGTACTAATTGTGTGACCCTCTCCTAGTCAACTTTACTGGTTGCTACATGCCTGATACGATTGGAAAATTATACATGTCGGAATATCCATTCCCATCTGCATTGACTACCAAAATATTCCGTCCCCGAAATCCGGGGCCTTGCATTTCAACTTCAGTGCAGCGGGATTTTTCATTGCTATCTTTCATTCCACCCCCCCTCCCCGCCAGTGTTGGGCATTTCGTTGGCATCCCAGTGTTGAACAAGATACACCCTCCCCCTACCCCCTCCCCCAGGCCCATTGCCAGACATGATATTGCCACCTCAGCGGCGGACATGGCATAGCCAATCCAGGCCGGGTGAAGATCATTAAATGGGTGAAGGTGGGTAAGGTGCGTGAACATGTGTGAGCATGTGTGAACATGTGTGAACATGTGTAAACATGTGCAAACATGTATGAATGTGTGGTAGCATGTGTGAGCATGTGTAAGCATGTGTGAACATGTGTGAGCATGTGTGAGCATGTGTGAACATGTGTAAACATGTGTAAACATGTGTAAACATGTATGAACGTGTGGTAGCATGTGTGAGCATGTGTGAGCATGTGTGAGCATGTGTGAGCATGTGTGACTGAGCATGTGTGAACGGTGCAAGCATTCACATGACGCTCTGCACAGCTCTAATCCAATGAAGTGCTTTGTTTATTCTGCACAACTTACTGTACTTTCACTGCAAACAGTACAAAAAGGGAAATGGTAGATGTCGCAGTGCTTGCAACAACAGACAACGTCGCCGACCAACGGAGTACAACCACAGGAGAGGCCAACACTATTCCCGTCAATTCCGTTTCTGCCCGTGTGTTTGAAAATGCCGTGATGTCTGCCTCCCTAAACCTCAGCCCCACTGCCCCGATTCGGGTTGTGCGTGCTTCCCCTAGCTGCATCTTGTGTTTGCCAGTTAAGTGTTCTTGTCGTTGAGCGAAGCTATTTCAGCCTGTGGGGACTGCAAGAAAGCATCTTCAAGTTACATCTCATGCGACATCTTGCTCGACTAAGATAACAGGCTGTGTACAATAATAATAATAATAATAATAATAATAATTCTCGTCTACGTTCCAAAGGGAACTCACGGCAATGGAGTGACAAAAAGCACCGCGGCAGAGAGAGAAAAGAGAAGATATAATATTTGACGAACACAATCACGGTGTAGATTTCACATGACTTCCAATACACCACATCAGCAAAGCTCTTTCTTAGAAAAATAAAAGATTAAAAAATAAAATAAGATAAATGAAATGAAATCAGTGATCATCACAGTCAGTCAAGTGTGTCCACACCAAAATCACAGCCGGTCATGTGTGTTCACATCACCGCAGAGCAAATGTTACTCCACTTCTGCCGGGCAACTGCGCAACTTCTTAGAGTTTCGAGGTGCCCGCTCGTCTTCAATGCGACGGCTGTGAACTTGACGTCTTGCTGGAGGGTGGCGACTAAACAGGACCCTGGAGCTCCCCTCCTGTGCCTCACAGCGTCCTCCGTTGATGCGTATGCAATCATGTGTACAATGTAAATATTAAATACAGTGTTGTTTCACAGTACCACAGTGGAGAAACAACACTGTCTAGTTGCAACACTGTCTAGTTGCAACACTGTCTAGTTGCAACACTGGGCTTCAACATAACAAGCTGTATACAATGTACATAATTATAATGATAGGTTTCTCAGCACCCCCCCCCCCCCCCTACAGTGGTAGTTTGCAATACACCGTGCAACAGGCTGCTTGCACTCCCATTTTGCCTAGTAATGCTGATATGCATGGTGTGAGATTCCTACTTGAAGTATGTATAATAATATGCTGTATCCTGGCTGGTAGTTTGCACTACACCGCGGTACCGTGCAACAGGCTGCTTGCACTTACAGTGATTATGTCTGGTAGTAATGCTGCATTGCTGGTGTGCATGGTCTGAGATGCCCTGCTGCATATGTATAAGTAGTCGTAGTTTGCAATGCATGATGCCACAGACTGCTTGCATTCCCATTAATACTAGCATTATGTCTAGCAAGACTGGTATGGCTACTTCCGAAGAAGTTGAGAGCTTGGGATACCTGGATCTAAGGTCTGTAGGTAAGATGCACTCGCAACCATGCGCTAGCTGTGTAGTATTCCACACGCATGGAAATAGTCATGGTATTGAACCGAAGTGTACAGTCATTTTGCCCACCCCACTGCCAGGAACGCTGCTGCTGTCCCTTTGGCGTAACAAGTTTAATCACTAATCTGGCTTTCACTCACACACGCTCTCACCCACTCTCATACATTCACTCACCTCCAACACACCAGTTGCCCTCTTTCTTTCTCCCCGTCTTTCTCTCTATATTTTTTTTCTCTTTTCTCATATCCCTCTCTCTCTCAGACTCTCATTCTCACTCTCCCACTCACAATCTCTCAACAGTGTGCGTTGGGCGACTTGATCACGACACTACTCTGCAAAGGAGCACACTTGACCTTGACAGACTGCATGGCTTTTTTATCACCTACACGCCCATTTTAGTGCTCTTTGTTGTTGGTAAGGGTTTCCTCCTTTCTATCTACTTGTAGGTGTGTGCACAATCATAAAAATGGGAATATTTGCGGTTTTGTTGCTATCGTGGCTTTCCTGTCTGCCAATAGTGTCACCAGTGTCTTGGCCCATTTCCCTCTTTGGCTTTGGTGATCGAGAACGGGTTGCGTTCGGTCTTGTATGTATTCGGTTTGGTGTTGTGCGTGATGGGAATGAAATATATGCAGCTAGGTATGATTTATGTCAGGTGGTCCTTGATCGGTTAAGTAAACCACAACACAGTGCAAGCACAGTTCCTTGTTAGTAGATAATCCCTGGACTGATGAGGATTTGAAAATTCTGAGCAAGTACACACAAACGCACGCCCGCAGGCACCACACACGCACACACACACACACACACACACACACACACACCTTGGACCTTGGACCTTGGACGCGCTGCCATATTCAGCCTATGCGGACCCCATGGAGGGGGGGGGGGGGTTGAGCAGGTTCGGAACAGTAGGGGCGATGACGGGATAGGTCCTGTGGTCTACTGAAACGCCGACCGCAATTGCAAACGCTGCAGAAGGAGCTACGGTCTGTATTGGTTGCTCTGGCCGAGCCACGGCTGCACTTGTGAGGACGCTGTGAGGCACAGGAGGGGAGCTCCAGGGTCCTGCACTTGTGACGTTTCATGCCTCGGCGCGATAGCACACAGCGGTTGCAGCGGGCGCAGTGGAAGCTGCAGCGTTCTCACACACACACACACACACACACACACACACACACACACACACACACACACACACACACTACTACTACTACTACTATAGCATGACTGCCCATTGGGCAATGTCACCCCCGGAGGGGGCCAGAGTTTGGAGTGCACCGTCATTGGCAGGACTTCTGGTGCCTCGTCAAATCTTGCTGTCGTCGGAAACGTTTCGGGCAATGCATGCAGATCAGCGGCAGTGATTCCCTATCGGCTGCAGCAAGACGTTTTCCACGGTTGCAGTTATGGCGGTTAAAACCAGCCCGGGACTTGAAGCAGCGATTGCAGCGTTGACAATGCTGGAAGCAGCAACTAGCGAGAGACGCCGTCAATGCCGTATCTGCATGTTCAGGGAGTGCAGGCTGGCAGCGATGAACTGCAAGCCCACCCTTACTACGGAACCATCGGCAGCAACTGACGCACTGTGCTGAACCACGCTGTTGGTGGACGGGAAGTTGGCGCTCAGCCAAACACTTGTGCCGTGCCTTGTCTTGAGGACGAGAGAAAGCCCGGTTGCAAGATGAGCAGAGTACGGATTTCTCTACTGCCCGAGGAGGCTGAAAAACCAGAACCTGCTCTCGCCAAGCTGACCGGTCTTGTGCGCAATCAAACCAGTTTGGAATGGACTTCGTGTCAGTAGCCACAACGTCTCTCCACCTACGCCTGGGACCGCAGAAGGGGCGCGCAGCCAACAAACGACCAAACAACAGCTGCAATGGGACACGGTCCTCCGACATCCGAGCCACATGACCAAGCCACTCTAAACGACGATGGCGCATCTTAACAGAGAGTGGCACTGGGTCACCCCAGTGACGACGTAACTGCGCAGACGTGATGCGATCGGATTGCTGCTGACTGCGAGGGATGGCTAATATTGTGCGGATGCAGCGATGATGAAAGGCATCCAAACGTCTACTATCAGCTTTCAAGGGCGTCCAGCACTCACTGCCGTACAGCAAAATGGACAAGACACAGGCCACGTATAGCTTTCGCTTACTGACTAATGACAGCGAGCGATCCGACAAGACTGGAAGAAGAGCTCCAAAGGCTTTGGAAGCCTCAGCTATGCGGCGACTGACGTCAGTAGAGGAGCGGGCATCCGGTGTCACGACGGACCCCAGATAAATGAAGGATGGAACGTGCTCCACAGTATCACCGTTGACGTTCATATCGGCTCTATCAGGCATGTTGACTTGGCTACCTGCCACGAGAAATTTCGTTTTAGCAGCGTTGACGCAGAGGCCAAAGGAAGAGGCAACCGTGCAGAATGTTTCAAGGCACTTCTCAGCACCAGGGCGGTCTTCAGCGAGCAAGACCGCGTCATCTGCGTACTCAATGTCGTTGATGATTGCGGCAGTAGACTGGCGAGCGGGCTTTGAGAAAAGGTTGCCATTGATGCTAAATTGGATGGGGATGCCAGGTGGATGGTCGCTGTCCTGCATCATTTGTGCCCACCGCTCAAGCACAACACCGAAGTACAGATTAAAAAGTACTGGGGCCATCACACAGCCTTGACGGAGGCCATTGTTGACCGCAAACGGCTCGGTAGTGCTGGCACCGACGCGCACAGCTGCCTGCATGCTCTCGTGGAACGATTGGATTAGATTGAGGAGCCCTTCAGGAATGCCTAGCCTCCCCAATGCTAGACACACACACACACACACACACACACACACACTGCTACTTCTACTACTGTAGCTTGGTTGCCACAAGGGCCACACCACTCCGAAAGCAGTCATTGTCAGGAGCAGAAACGGAGATGACGACTCGGGTCACTCTGTCGATGGAACTGACGGTTGCAGCAAAAACAGCGAACACCATACGACGCTCTATCAGACTCGGTTGCTCGATGGGCACGGTCGCACTTTAGACGTCTGAAACCAGGCACTGACTTGAATTGCCGATTGTATGTCACACACAACACACAAGAGAGAAGCTGGGACGCTGAGCAGAATAGGTGATGCCGGCGCAGACGCTTCCGATGGTTCCAGGGGCAAACGATGATTTACACGCCAGCCACCACGAGAGTGAAACCACCTCCTGCATGTACCACACTGCACAGCACCACGCTGATCCTGGATGGGGAGACTTCGCTCTGCGCTACACTTGTGTCTTGCTTTGTCACCTGGCCGACGAAACGAACGGTGGCAGATAGGACGGTCCACCCGTTGAGATTGGTCATGGGAAGGACCGCCGAGGCTCGGCCCAACGGCAGACACCCGCCAGGCAGATCGATCCTGAGAAATCCCATACCAAGCCAGATGTTCAATGCCGATGTGCCGAAGATCAGCCGAAATCACATCCCTCCAGCGACGACGGGGACTACACGCAGGCCGAGGCGACGGTAGGAAGCCAAACAACAGCTGCTTGGGCACACGAACATCCGGCATGCTGGCCACATGGCCAAGCCATTCCAGCCTCCGCTTCCGAAGCCGGGAGCACACACACACACACACACACACACACACTCACTCACACGCATACCACTTGACCACTTGACGCCCATCACCAGAGGCACACACACACACACACACACACACACACACACACACACACACACACACACACGCACGTGCACGAGTACACAGCGCGCACACACACACCACACACACACACACACACACACACACACACACACACACACACACACACACACACACACACACACACACACACACACACACACACACACACCATGTACCATGTACACACACACACACCATTTGCCATTTACCATGTACAGACAAACACACACGCGCGCACACACACACTCACATGCACACACACACGCCTGAACCATGCCTTGTGCGCGACTACACCCATTGCAAGAAGAACAAGGGGTAGCTGCAGCTGCTGTACAGTGACAGAATCTCTCTTTCAGCAACATTCACAGAAAAAATCGAAATGAAACAAATCGATTCGAGCAAGAAACACAGCTGAAAGATTGTGCAACACTGGGAAGTAGTTGAGTATTCTCCTGCAGAGATCTCAAACGCACGGGTACACCCATGGTAGAAGAAGCACAGATAACTGCAAGTGTACTGAATGTACACTCTCTTGTATAGTCACATTCACAGACAAAATCTGGATGGGACAAAGAGAGACGTAAAGCCGTTAATGGAACAAATCGAGACTTGCACGATTGGCTCAATGACACCACGGCATTGTGAAGACCATGGCAGGAACAGAATTGACGGGAATAGGGTTGGCCTTTCCTGTAGTTTTATTCCGTCGGTCGGTGACGTCTGTTGTTGCGAGCGCTGTGACATCTACCATTTCCCTGTTGTCCTGTTTGCAGGAAAAAGGATGGAAATTGCACATTTCCTTGTCAGGTACACATCTACCTCTGCTATGCATACCCCGAAGTTAGTTACGGACACTTCGGTATACTGGGCACCCTTTGGGCGAGTTCCAGTAGAAATATTGTTCAACATTCGGATAGCAACGACAGGTCCCGCACTGGGCTGAGGGTGGGGGGAGGAGGTAAATCCTGTTCAACACTTGGATGGCAATGAAAGGTCCCGCACTGGAGTTGAAATGCGTGTCCAGGACTAGGGTGCCAGTATTGTTTGGGACCTGATGCAGATGTTAATGGAAATTCCAACATGTATAATTTCCCATGCGTATCAGGTGTGTACAGGCCAGTTAAACGTTGACTGGTGGGGTCACAAAAACTAGCGCTCAATACCGTCACACAAACTAAAAATATGTTTCGATTTTTTGGGCATGCATGAACCTTGAACACAGCGCAGCGCGTACAATTAACAGTTGTGAACAAAGTGCATATGCGTGCCAATATTACTGTGAATACAGCGCAGATACGTGCCATTGGTTTAACACAGCGTATCCCCGTGTCAGTTGTGAACACAGCGTGCACATGCGTCATACACAGCGCATACGCGTGACAGCTGTGAACACAGCGTGATTTTACACGGCAGTTGTGAACACGCTCAAGTAGACCATGGTAGACCACAGGCACTTCTCTGCAGCACTGTACGTCATGGTCTGTGCTGCTGTCACCATGGCGCCCATATTTTCTCACGTTTTGCTTTCCATTGAATTTCGTAGTCGATTTAACCAGAGAGAAATTTTGCCACAGGCTGGAGAGCTTCTGGTCAGCATACAGATGCATGTAGCATATTCAGGTGAGGCCATACAAAGCAAACCACTTCATGTTACCTTTTCAATGATGCACTGATAGCTCTGACCCAAGAAAAAGGCGAACATCGCATGCTTATTTAAGGACAGTTCTGGCCAGAGAAATCCACCCTAATGAATACAATAGCGCCATGTTCGAGTGCACAGGCCAGTGTGTGTAGTACAAGGGCTGCGTAGCGCTATTTTCTTCATGAGTTTGAATTCCTTTGGCCAGAACTGTATTAGCGTTATAATTTGTTCAAGAACAACTCAATCACACAGTACTAATAGCTGATCAACGTACCGGAGGAGCTCTGTCACGGTGAGCTCAAATGCATTCATTGTAGCTGTTCAGGGATTGACCCGACGAGCACAATTCTGTTGAGCACCAAAGCAAACAGATTACATCCAATCGGCAATTTGTTACTATGATGATCTCTCACAGGCAGAGACAACAAAATAAATAATGTCACTGGGGCTTAGCAGGCCTGCCGGAACCGGTCTGGTTGGGTCATTGGCCAGGTTATCACTGGACCATTTGTTGGCCACCGGCAAATGTTTCCTACTGTGGAGGACGTGTGTACCCGCCATATCACACACAACCTGTATAAAAGGCCGTAAAACTACCGGACCAATCAAAGACTGCTTCCGGCGGTACTGCATAGTGATCAATTTCCTAGGAGATAAGAATGCCATTGTACGGTAACTCCTGTAGCTAAAGACCACCGTGACTAGCGACCAGCCTGGTACTACAGACCACTTTGCCGGGCACGGACGGGTTCACAATCATTATGGTTGTGCAGTACAAACCTCTACCAAGGACCACCTGCCACTAAAGACCACCTGCCACTAAAGACCACCTGCCACTAAAGACCACCTGCCACTAAAGACCACCTGCCACTAAAGACCACCTGCCACTAAAGACCACCTGCCACTAAAGACCACCTGCCATTAAAGACCACCTGCCACTAAAGACCACCTGCCACTAAAGACCACCTGCCACTGAAGACCACCTGCCACTAAAGACCACCTGCCACTAAAGACCGCTTTCTCTGGCCCCAGGGGGTGGTCGCTAGTTACAGGTTTCACTGTACTTAGAAGTAGGAGACACTCTTGAACATTTTTGAGGCATAGTGATTTTGAGGTTTCTTAGATTACTGATGAAGCAGGTTAGCCGGGGTGCATCGACCGGATTCCGGATGAAGCACTGCTTCTGAGCTGGAGAAACCCACTTCAATGCCTGGTCAGGGTGTACGCTGTGGTCATGAGGAGTGGTTTCGCATCTCATTGACCTGCATCGCGTGTTTTGTATACTTGCGGATTCTCACCGCTGAATTGGTGCATTCTGATGCTAGTAATGAACAAGTATGCACAAGAGTAGAATTATAAGCTCCCAAGAGTGTGCAACTCTGCAAACCGGGTCTCCGACAGCAAGAACTCACATCACATTCTCTCAGTTACTTTTCATACTGCTTACAAATGAAGGATAGCGTGCGCGCAATCCGAATATCTGTCATGAAAATGCTGGGGATATGCATTCGCGCAGTGAAATTCTGATCTAGGCGACATGCTCCCGAGCCAACACTGGGGTTTACTCGTAGGATTGACATGCACTGCAGCAATGACTCAGGTATGATGAGTTTATGTAACATGCCCCCCCCCCCCCCCCCCACCCGAGGCAACAGGGTGGGGGAGGGGGGGGGGGGATTCCCCGCAGGATTGACATGCACTGCAGCAGTGACTCAGGTATGACGAGTTTATGTAACATCCCCCCCCCCCCCGAGGCAAACAGGGGGATTCCCCGCAGGATTGAAATGCATTGGAGTAGTGACTTACTGATGCATACAGGACTGTACGTCGCCTGTTGGCTGACAGAAATGTATTGGACCTGCGTTGCCGACAAAATCTTGGCAATCTGGATGCTGCTGTATTGTTGCGACCACACTGGGACGTAAAACGGAGGACCTGCGACGCCGAGCTGTGGCATGGCGTTTGAAAACAGGCCCGGGATGAAGAAGGGGTCATCGGTCGCTTGCGGCATTGACATATTCATGGCTGGGCAGAACTCCTGGATCATCCACAGGTTAGCGGCGGATACGGCCGGTGCTGACTTCATTGCCACGCGAGTGTTCCACGGCCGGTACCTGACTACTCTGTTTGTCCAATCAGCTGTCAACAACATTGCAGAACGGAGAGGGTTATGAGCATGGTGCATTTATTGCGCTCCACCTTTCTTTAAACCATGTTACCGCTACAGGGGTGCGCCATTCAGCCATGGGACAAAATGCTTTTAAAAACAGGGCAAATTGCTAGCTCCACAATGCTATGGTCCTGGAGACCATACCAGCTGGCCAGGTAGGACTGTACACAAAAGAAATGATCAAACCTAGAAACGGTTATGAAGTTGATTGTTCCAACTAGGAACACACGCTTCTTGCCGAACTTGACACTCGACTGACTCACGACTGCCATCCGGAGCACACGAGGAGCACGTCGCACCTTCCACTCGGCAAACCTGTGCCAAGTTCGGCAAGAAGCGTGTGTTCCTAGTTGGAACAATCCACTTCATGACTATTACCGCCGAAGTCGCAACTTCTAAGCTAGAAACGGTTATTTATACTACGCAGTATTTACTTTTCTAATTGTCTGCGTGTCGTATATATGTAGGACTCAGTGACCAGTCAAGGCCCCGTGACCAATCACGGTCCCCGTGACCAGTCAAACAGTCACAAACCCCCCATGACCAGTCACAAATTAGTTTACCAGTCACAAACCCCCCATGACCAGTCACAAATCACCATACATGTACATGTGTAAAGTACACAGTTCGTGACTGCTCGCAGGGTGCTTCGTACTGCAGGATTTGTTGTGGAAACTATAATTCCCTATGAGCGGTCACAGAATGCAGTTGTGACCACTATAATTCCATGCGAACAGTTACATGCGGAATGTACAGTTGTGACCACTCTTTCTCTGTGAGTAGTCACAGGCAGAATATAGGTATTTCTGTATTACAAGAGAGATTGGAGGCTTTGTCACAACTCTGAGTTTCACGTATTACTACGATCGTCAGGCAACTGATGGCTCCTAAACGGGCAGCCTGAACATAAGAGGGAGCAAAGTGGGAAATTCTGAGGGGTATCATAGGCGACGGGTATCATAGTGCAAGAGTCAGGTGCAGGCGTGAAGTTTCCAAGTCTTCAGACTTGGGGCTATGCAGCAGCAGTTCCAGCGTGAATGACATAGAATAGAGCTGGGGACCACACATGCCCACACCATTACACAGACATACACCCACACTCTCTCCCTTTTCTCACATACACTCACACGTGCACACACACACACACACACACACACACACACACGCACACACTCATTCTCTAAATCTCTCTCTCTCTCACACACACACGCACATATGTCATTCATTCTCTACATCACACACACACACACCTGGCCTGGTGTACAGCTGCCAAATGCTTAGCCACTCCGCCCCCGAGACAGGGAGAGAGTAGAAGAGAGAGTTTGAGACACACACACACACATCCACACACACACACACACACACACACACACACACACACACACACACACACACACACACACACACACACACACAAATAGGCAGCGGGACTACCAGCTAGATTCACGTGACCTTGCGGACAAAGTTACGGAGGTAGAACTTGTTTTCACGACGACACTTGGACACACGTACTTCTGTATTATTATTTTATCTCTTTTCGACCAATCCACAAGCCAAGAAGAGATGCGTAGACAGAAGAACTGTACTCTTGGTGATACTGATCGCAAACATGATTAATTCCTCCAGGCCATTGAGCACCCAATTCTAAACCTTATCTAAGCAAAGCAGCATGCCAGTTCAAGAATATCTCGTCAGACATACATATCGATACATGTCTGGTGCACTCTCACTAACAAGCAGGCATCGCAGGCTACATTCGCACCAGCAATCAAAAGAAGTTGAAGTGAGTGAATATTTCTATAAAATTAATAATTGGAAGACAAATGAAGGTGTGGAGGATCGCCCAAAAACACTGACAAGGAGACAGTAAACGGTACACAGTACTCGTATGCATGTACATGTACTTATACACGTTATAGCAGCACAACGAGAAAGACCATGATGCATAATGTTGCATCAATAACTTTTACAGAGTTATTTTGGGAGTAGAAATGAAGATGTGTTCGAAGCAGTAAACTGCGTAAGCACTACGTTGAGCCACAATATTGAAATACAGTTTCCTGCAGTCAAAACAAGACACTCACACTTCTCTGGTCTAGTTCGCCATTCTTATCGATAAACATGACTTGATTTAATTTCTTACGATGGTCCTTGAGAATGGATTAATGATGTCTTGAATAGATGTCTTCCTGAACGACTTCAACTGAGAGGCAGTTTCAGCTTCAACAAGCTGGACATTGTTTTTCTGTGGAGTCTTCCACAAGAAAGACAGAGCTACTACACACACGAAGGTGCTTGATGTACTCAGTACCTTCTTGGAAATGAACATATTTTCATTTCCATCTTCATTATATTTTCGTCTCTGCATCGTCGACGATGTCCACTTCTGACTCCGTAATCTTGTCACCCATCCTCTCCAAAAACACAAATCGAGTGCTGTTTGCATGCTGGATCAGTTGAAGTCAGTCTCTGCTCTAGCAAGATCGGCATGCAAAAATTACATGACTGAAAATATTCCGAAATAGCTTTTCTGAACGACGAAGTTTGTTCTTCAAATATGATGAATAGCACAACCTACTAGCCAGAACGTCCTCTCAAAAGAGATTCTATCTGAAGCCTGCAAGATTTTCGACCACCCTTCGTTTTGGAGAGGAGCCCACACACACCAGACTCGAGCTACAAGTACAAGTAAACTACGCGGAGATCGAGAGTTGATCGAAATCTTTCTTGATCACTTCTGAAACCTGTGAAGGAAAAAAGTATGCTGAACGCGTGAATGCCTACAGTTGAGTCGTAATATTTTGACGTGGATCCTGTGACCGTTCACAGAGAAAGTCGCGGCAGTTTGTGACTGGTCATCGGGATTCAAACTGGTGTGTGACTTTATGACTGCTCTTCGAGGATTTGTGACTGTTTGATTGGTCACGGGGATCGTGATCGGTCATCGAGACGTGACTGCTCACTGAGTCCTACATATATATATATATACGTCATTATTGGATGGGCTCATTTTCAATGACGTGTATATACGACATTAGCGGTAAAAGGGTTAAAGGCATAGATTTGAGCTATGGTGGTTTCATCTATATTCCGTATTTTCCGGCAGGACGGGAGCACACGCAATGGAGCACAAGACGCACCCAGATTTTGTCACCAAGTACAGACCTCTACCATGTACACCACCATTCATTTGTCCATCGTAGAACTAAATTTTGTGAAGCAAATGACGAATCCTTGGGGTTTTAAGTGCGGCATACACTCCGGAAAATACAGTATAGGTGAGGTATTGTTGGTATGGGGGGGGGGGGGGGGATGTTCATGGTTCGGTCATGAACGCTCTCACTATGAACACTTCAGGGCAGTGAATCATGTTACTGCAACACCGCATGGTCATGGTGTTTTGAATACGTGAAATCATACTGGTTGTCAAGTCAACATTATGCATACTGATGTTCAAGTCCACATATCCATACTGATATTCAAGTCCACATATCCATACTGATTCTCAAGTCAACATATCCATACTGATTCTCAAGTCAACATGTCCCATACTGATGTTCAAGTCAACATGTCCAAACTCATGTTCAAGTCAACATATCCATGAACCCCAAGGAACTACGGGCAACTACTGCAGAACAATATCCTCACGTTGAGCTGTGCCTGCACTGCAACGTGTCTGGGCCTGTGCTTTCGGCCCACGGTGTTCACACGGAGGTGGGATAGGAAACGGAAAAAGTCTGTTGAGACGTGGCACATGGGCATGTTCATGGTTGGAGGCATATTTACGGGGTGAACGCTCATACGAGCTTTTCGATCTTCAAAAAACGTAGTTATCCGATTGATACTAACGTAGTCGTGTGATTAGAGTCCTCTCCTGAATAGTCCTCTATCGTGACTAGTGCCCCAGTGTCTAGGAGTCAGGGAAAAAAGAAAGCCCTCTCTTGAGTAGCGCTCCAGGCTCTGCTTTTCTTTGCCTACTTTCTTTTTATGCGGGATGATGTCATTGTACCAGTATTGAAGAGAGAGAGAGAGAGTACTTTCTCTTTGACAGTACCCTGTCTTGAATAGTACCCTCACTTGAATAAAGCCCTCTCTTGAAAATAGTCAACTTCGCTTATAACGTCACTTGGCGGGGCATCAAAAAGGTGTCCTTATTCGCGAAGTGTCGTTATACCCGAAGTCGCATTATATGTATTACAGTGGTATGGGACTTTGCTCTGGGCATGGAAATTCTGTTGTTATTCGCGAATTGTCGTTATATCCGCAGTCGTTATTAGCGAGGTTAACTGTAGTACCCTCTCTTGACTAGTCTCTTGAATAGCACCCTCTCTTGAATAGCACCCTCTCTTGAATAGCACCCTCTCTTGAATAGCACCCTCTCTTGAATAGCACCCTCTCTTGAATAGCACCCTCTCTTGACTAGTCTCTTGAATAGCACCCTCTCTTGAATAGTGCCCCATCTGTGATGGACATTGAAAATATAGTGCCCCGTGGCTACAAGGCGGGCGATACGGTACTTTTCGAATATCGGCTATAATCGCGACGTCACTATCAGTGAGGTGGGCACGTGAGTTTTTACACTCAACAGTTACTATTTCCATACATCTTCACATCTTAACAATACAGAAATAGTAAATCACTCGAATTATCAGGCAAGGCCCATCTTCAGGAGTGATTGTTTGTAGAGTGTTGTGAAAATGTACGGATATGGTGGATGGCCATCAATGGAGTCTTAGCATTTTGAGAAAGTTATTATTGTTATCAGAAAACAAGTCTCCCAGAACTAACCATTCACACATCGGCCGCCAAAGAACAACAGCCCTGCACTGACGCTTATTCCACACCGTGTGTTGTCCTATCAACATCTACTGCACTGGCAAAACAAACCCAACCTCATAAATATAATAGTGTTGCCGGACGCTACGCAGCCCTAACACTACACATACTGGTCTGGGCTCTCGAACGCTGTGCTATTTTGTTCATGGGATTGGGTTTCTCATGGCTAGCACTGTATCAAGAAATATTCACAGCTGCTGTGGACTGACCTTCGCAGATTACATCGGCCGCTGGGTCACCGGTGACGGGACTGGTGATATGTGGAGCGCTGAGGGCCTCTCTGCCAAGGCTGTACAGGGATTTAGTGCCGGTGTTGTTGAGCCAGACGGACATATGATCGTGATAGCCGGCCACGACTAGCTGGCTGACGAAGCGATGGAACGCAGGTGCAGCCGAGCTGTGCAGGGGTAGCTGTGTTGCAATGCTACTGTACCACCGGTCACACCAGACCTGGGCCGGATGCCACGGGTAGCGGCCGTTCTGGGCGCATTGCAGTGGCGTGGTGTCGGTGGGCTTACAGAACCCAGTGCTGGGTGCAACCCATGTAGTTTTACTCAAAAAACCAGCAACAGCACCTATGTTTCAGTGAGAACAAAAAAAAACAGCAGATAGAAAATAGAGTAAAACCCATCATGGCGTCCACTCGGATAAGGTCACCACCTGTCCTAGAAGACCACTGCTGCCAGGCCCAATGGATGCTATTTCCAGTCAAATGGCACTGGTAACAGAGACAACACTTTGAAGGTCCCCTGAGCAGTCGTCTTACGACGGGTTTCACTGCAATCGAGGGTAGACCCCTCGCACTCCCCTCACGCTCTTATTTTCTCGAGTGCTAGTTACCACGCTTGAAAATGCGACGGACAAGGTATACACAGAGCATGAATGGCATCACCCATGACTTCGATTCTTCCCCTCCCTCCAATTTAAGCCCCACCCTTATGCCCTTTTCATCAGACAAAACTTCCTAGATAAGTTTCTAATTGCTTTTGAAGGATAATGAAGCCAAACCAAACCAAACCAAACCAAATTGAACCAGGACACCGTCTCATAATTTCCCCAAACTTACGTTTTTCACATCGCTCGCCAAGCCAACCAGATAGACACCTGCATGCAGGCGCACTGGGTACGGATGTGTCCATGAATCCGTTATCGCACAACACTGAAGTAAAGACAAGCAGGCAACAGAGAAAAGAACGAAGACACTGTTGGCGTTTGTAACATAGAAATAGCGGGCACAAGTTATGCGATCGAGTCCACCAACTGAACCAGACTTTGAACAGTGAGACGTTGTTATGAAAAAAATTCCTTACCTCACCATCTGAGTTCTTAATACACAGTTGTCATGGTGATGTTCTGTCTGTATCTTACATGACAACCAACATGCGCTATCTCCGAATAGTCTTCCCAAGTGCATGCTTGACTTTTTGTCGGCTATTCTTCAAACACACATACCAGAGTCGCTCTACTAAAACCTCAACAGTCTCTTCACTGCAGTGGTGGCTAATGTTTTCGGGTCACATCAAGGTGAAAACAGCAAACCAGTACCCTGACGTGTAAATGGCTGCAATGCAGTCGGCGCGTAATTAGAAAGGTTCAGCTCTTACAACAGAGAACGGACCAAGGAACTGCAGGTTACGTTATAATGTCCACTAACACCACTAGCTACTAAACAGTCAGCTCATGCGATAACATCGCACGACACTGACCAATGTGTGTCGAGTCGTGTGCCGTGCAATCACGTGCAGTATCGTGGAATGTCGTGCAATGTTATTGCATGAGCTGATTGTTTAGTAACTGGTGGTATTAGTGGACAGTATAGCGTAACCTGCAGTTCCTTGGTCCGTTTTCTCTTCTATAAATCAATCCTTGGCTCTCCATTCGAGTCTGTTCATCTCTTAATGTCTCTTGTGTTATTCTTCGACAACCTCGACCTCAGTCTTGAGTATCTGTGCACGTGAGGGCAGACATTGCAACAGTATTATGATTTTTTTTCTTATTTATTTGCAGTGCCAATGGCCCGACAGCTGGAGCAGAGTACTTGTTCATCGCCGAGAAACTTTCAAAGCACGCTGCTCAAAGAGGGCTTACCAAAGCAAAGCGACCGGTAAAGCTTCCCTGGACGGGCATCGGTAAATATTGGTGTGCCTGTGGCTGTGAGGATGACAACTCGAGGGTTGGCTGCTGAGCTGGCAATGTAATACGGGCCAGTCGAGTCGCGTGCGATCGATGTTAACTCGCTGCTCAGAGCGTCACGCCAATGAAGAAGTTCTTGCTCGCTACCAAGCTGGTAACCAATGGCGGTGCAATGGCGCACCGCGTCCTGGTAGGAAGTGTGCGATACGTCGCGTCTCGCAATGGATGACCGGCTGAGCTTGCCCAAAGTCGCTGGCAAGTAAATCCATGGCTCTATCAATTGCAGTCACAGAAACACACAAGAAGAATACATAGCAAATGTGAGTATCCAATATCTTACCCATTTATTTAAACAACATCAGCTGGCACGTCAAAAGACGACCAAATATCACTTGGAATGCAGGGTGACAGCCAAACATGGCAGAATAGAATACACAAAGAAGAGAGGAGAGAGAGAGAAAACCTATTTAAAACCTATTTCTTGAGGTGCTTCATGATCTCCCACGGTTCTGGTGAAAAAATGTTCTCTCCTTAAGAAGTGTCCTTGTGATTATCCAGTCTCCACTGAAGTTACCACCCGAGTAGAGACAGACAAATCATTTCTTCAAGTAAAAAAAGTATAATAAAATCTCAATGTTTCTTTCAAACCACATAGACCTAGTTTCTTCGGACAGCTTTTATGGATACTCATTCAGTGAGCATGATGAAACGGGAAAAAGTCCGAAGAAAATGTTTATCGACACCACCAGAAATTGGGGCAAGCAATGCTCCCAATACCAGAGCTATGACATAGCTGTCATCCCAGCAGAAAACGTTCAACATTTTCTTCAGACTGTGAAGCTCACAACTGTATTGAAATTCCATTAGAGAAGTTGATGCTAATTTCCATTGACAAAGGGTCACCCAGGATGCAGCTCACTGATTTCGTCTGACCTTCACAAAACCTATGTCATGTACTGGAAAACCGGAAAGTTTAACGGCCAAAAAGTATAACGTTTTTTTTTGTAATTTTGGCATGAGAATGCGCCGAAAGTTTAATTAACGATGGCGACTGGCCACCCACTGTCTGTGCATCTTTACACAGACATCTAAAACCGGGTTCGCGATAACGTGTCTTCAAACACCAATAAAAAATTGGTCGTTAAAACGTTAGACTTTGTGACTCATAAGACTTCCCGGTTTTACAGTATTCGTAATCCTTGTTTGACAGTATCTTTGGGATGGTTTACGGTTTACAATTAGATACCAGGAGTATAGCCAGAAGGAAAGGGAAGGAGGGGGGGGGGGGAGGGGTGATCTGACCCAAATTGTTGTGATTTTACAGCCATTTTTATTCCGCCTTCTTATACACTGCTACTACACCATGTGTGCTTATCATGCATATTATAAAGGTGGCGATTTCTTTCTGAAAGGGGGCGGTCAAACGGTGAAGGAGGGCACAGCACCCCGCTACGTTGCATTGGTGAGAACCTTGGTGCTCAAGGTCCTGGCGGCACTCATCGTGTTTACTACACGTGGCTTGATTGGGTCACGGAGTCCGCCAGCCTGTGACTCTGTGACCCGATCAGGGCCCTGTGAGCACAGTCACAGCGCTCCGCAGCTGGTCACGCAGTCGCAAACCGAATAACCAGTCACAGTTTCCACTATGCTCCTCATTACTACAGTAAGACCTGTCAAGGCGACCACCTGTCCAAGAAGACCACTGTAACCAGGATCCAAGGATACTATTTCCAGTCAAATGACCCTGGATAAGGAGACCACCTGGTAACAGAGACCACATTTTGAAGGTCCCTTGAGCGGTCGTCTTAGACAGGTGTCACTGTACTTCAAAAGTATACCAGCAGTAGCTTATGGAACTCAAAACACACTGCTTTGATGTTACACAGCGAATTTTTCTTTGATGTTACACAGCGAATTTTGCTTTGATGTTACACAGCGAATTTTGCTTTGATGTTACACAGCGAATTTTGCTTTGATGTTTGAAAGCAAAAGCTACACTGTGGAATGGCTAATTTTAGCAGATTATCACCGTTTTCTGAATTTGGACCAATCCTCGATCAACATTTTAGCGATCCAAGTTTCACTGCTTAAAAAGAAGGATGGTCATGCAGTACTGTACTGTTCACGCAAAATTTCAACCGGCATCGCAAAATTTAACGAAAACACTCCTTTCTCTAAAATCGGTAGTATATCACCCTGGCTAAAATTAGCCGTTTGCTGTCATTATATTGGTCAATATCATGCGTATGTTAACCTTCGGCATATCAATGTGCTTCTGAGATTGTCACTAATATCATTAATTACATTCTTGTTGTACTAGGGAATTCCCAACAGGCCACGGCGCCTTTTCACAGGGAACCCGGGGCTGAAAGAAAACCGAAAGCAATGTTATCTTGAGTGCTTACTCGGCGGGCAGACGGCCAGGTTGAGGCAGCGACTTTGTTGCTCATGCGTGGTGCGGGCGGAAATGCAGTGCTTTTTCCCGTTATCTGCCGGGCTCAGGTTACGGAACGTGAAGGACAGATCCTCTCCGCCGGCCACCTCCTGTACTCCAACGCTGGCCCGGCAGGTAGGACTGGGCAGGTCCAGGGACAGTTCTGGACCCCGTGCGGTGCAGTGGAACTGGACATCCATGCCAATGTCCGTACAGTTCTCCCAGTCGGCATAGTTTGTCACCCGGCAGTTCAGGATATCTGAGGGAGTAGATATTTAACAGTAGAAATATAAAACCCGAGCAAACGCGGCACACACATACACGCGTACGCAGATGCACAGATGCGCGCGCATACAGACACAGTTGCACACGCGTACACAGATGTACGCATGCACGCACATGCACACACGTGCACGCACACACACACAATCCAAAACATGCACGCGAATGTTCCCCATCAGCAGGAGATGCGACTAATGAAAGCTCCAGTCACACACAGCTCGGAAAGCGTGGAAGGCACATGTGGCAACTAATTTTTCTCTTTTCCAAACTGCGGGCAAAGGGAATCGCAAAAAGTTTGTGCCGTGTTATGCATAGTAATCATTGCCTCTCCACGCGGTGAACTTGCTCGTAGGTACTTTTGCGACATTGAAACACTGGCGTTTGAATGTCTTAGCTGTCAGATCACCCCCCAGAACATGAAAAAAGCAATTCCAACTTCTCCAGATGCGCTCTCTGGCTGACCTCATCACATAAGCAAGAGCACTCCAGATTGTACATACTGACAAAGACAATTCCCCCGATACAGCGCCGAAAACCGTAACATGCCGAATGCCTCTGCTTACCTGTTATGTACATATAACATCGAAAGACAGAAAAAAAGGTACTCACTCGGTATGCACGCCCGGACTTGGAAGCAAGCCTTCGCGTACGAACGGGGAGTACTGGCAGCCACACAGTGTGTCAGCTGGTTATCTGCAAGGCTGACGTTTTGAAAGATGAACGGCACGTTCTGTCCGCCGGGAACAGTGACTATGTTGAACGTGGTCTGGCGTGCAGGCGAGACGCTGATGTCCGCGAGCCCGTTAGGAGATCCCCGTACACTGCAAACGTACAGAGCATCTTCACCTATGTACGTGCACTCTCTGGGAGGGTTCTGAACGCATTTCACTGTCAAATCAGCTGAGAAAAGTAGACATCATGCACGCAAAGAACACACACACACACAAGCACACACAAGCACACACAAGCACACACAAGCTCACACATACACACACACAAACACATACACACACACAAAACAAACACATGCACACACACACACACACACACACACACACACACACGCGCACACACAGCTATATACATCATCTGAAGGAAGGTCTGATGTCATTAATTGTCTGCAGCAAAATTAATGTTGCGCAACATGTACCAGACCCAACACACTCTCCCAAAAATTCACAAGCACAGACAAGCACACAAAGACACACACACGCGTTCTCGTGTGCTCTTTGAGCGACTGAGCACATGATAATGACGTAGCCGGCTGAAGTTTGAATCGTCTCAAACAGATTTGAGCGTTCTGCGATGAAGGAGAGTGGAATGGCGTTGATGGGACGAACTTGCTTGCATATCAGGCTTGGAGACGACTTTGCTGTGTTACCGCGCCTGATTTGTGGCGGCTGGATAATGGAGATTGGTACCCTGGCGTTGCTCTCGTCAAGAGCTTTCCAATGAGCCCTTGATTGTGAAAATCAAGTGAAGGACACCAAAGTTATGACATGGTAAAGTTGAAAATCGTACTGACATTTTGTAATTCTGGTGCGTACTGTGCTAGTAATCCGTCCATAAAGGGTTAAACTGGGATACCTCTTCTATTCGCTCACTGCCTACTTGAATGCACCCCAGATCACCACCGCCCTCCGGCGCTGCCATTGACTTGGTCTTGGAAGCATTGATCTGCATGCCTAGTCTTGTTGCACTCGTATCCACGCCCTCGGTCAGGTCCATCAGCTCTTCTACAGACGATGCGATTAGATCTATATCATCCGCAAAACGTAGGTTGGTCACGCACATGCCGCCGATACATACTGACCCATCAAACTCCTCCAAAGCGTCAGACATGATGTACTCCAGGAATACGTTGAACAGACAAGGCGAGAGTAAACAGCCCTGCCTGACACCCACTGACGTGGTGAACCAGTCGGTGATAGTGGATCCAACAACGATGGCAGCTTCAGTAGTAGCGTAAAGCGCTTCAATCAGGTCCACAATTCTTGCTTCGATGCCATGCGCTCTCATAATCTTGAATAGCGCTTTGTGCCAAACCCTATCAAAGGCCTTACGGAAATCGATGAAGCAATGATACACAGCCTGCTGATGGTCACGGTACTTTTCAATTAACATTCTGAGGTTGAAGATTTGCTCTACTGTGCTTCTTCCCTTCCGGAACCCTGCTTGCTCGTCCGCCAGCAAACCCTCCACTTGCGGCTGCAGGCGCTTCAGCAAGATCCTCAGTAGCACTTTGCTCGGATGACTGATGAGGCTCTCTCTCTCTCTCTCTCTCTCTCTCGCAACATTTCTTGCTCTCATTCACAAAACGTCTCACCTATAACGTTTCTAGGGCTGAACAAACGAAGCAATTGCCTTGGCGGTGCCCATATCCTCTCCAAGGCCTAACAAACGTGGAGCTAAAAAACTCCCAACCGCTCTGCTCCGCAGTCTTACTGAAAGAAGATACAAAAACCATTCGGGTACGAATCCTTCTCCTGGCCATACGTTTACGGCGTCGAAGGTTTCTTCCCACACCAAAGCACTCTGGACCGCACAGATACGTTGTCAAGGCTAATGTGCCGGGCATCACAGAGGGAGAAGAAAGCTACACACTGTACATCCTAGTGAGTGCTACGTCACTGCGTACGCATGTCACTATTCGAAATGTGATGTCTGCATATGGCAGTTGCACTGCTGGCATTGCATGCTCCTGCCACCACAACGTCATTGTAGCATTGCTGCTGACCCGCAGCTACTGTGAGATACTAGGGCAAGACCTGCCATCCGCAGAGTCAGCGAAAACAGGAAAGGGGTCTGAGACCACTGAGCGATGGACGTACATGTTACGCCTGCATGCCTGGCCGGCGAAACCAGTCATGGATGCCACTGTGGAGCGTGCGTCGACAAACCGACAGCAAGAGGACGGGAAATTCCAGTGCAGCCTCTACTAAGCTCGAGCTCATAGACATGAGAGCTATCACTGAGACCGATCTGGAGAACTTGCACGATACTATGAAAGAAGTTATGCCAAACTGCCCCCTCCTCACTGCACTGTCTGAAAGGGTGAATACCCAACATGTCCCGATAAAGTACAGCGGCCTGTTCCATGCTGTTCAACTCTAGCCACCAACTGATTCCAGAAGGTATTGACTATGAGAGCCTGCCTTGGACAACTGAGGCGGAAGAGCAGCCGAAAGAGGATCCTGGACCAGCTAGTGGCAACAGGAACCCTTGTCAGCCACGTCAGCGTACTGACACTGGCAACAAAATTCATTGATTTTTGCCTTTGTTATGGGGGTCAATCCTGGACGTGCCGCACCGAATCGCGCAAGCGAGCGACAAGCCTTAAATCCGTGTATTGTACTTTGTGCATTCCGTGCACCAGACCAACTCAGTAATCGCATGCCCTCTCAACTTTTCGAGCGTGTATGTGATATTTCATCTATTTGTGATAATGACCCCAGAAGCGTCCAGCAAACCGCTTTAAGAATCATCCGCAGGGTACGTGTAATCACACTGATCATTAAACTGCAATGAGCGTAACGGTGGTGGAGATGTCAGAACGGGTCTGAGAGATATGCCGGTTGTAGTATACAGTCAGCCATTTTAATAATCCATCACTTTAGAAACCAGCACCCTCGGTAAACCAGCACAACTTTCAGCAACCAAAATGTCCTTTTCATGCACACTGAAGGAGTGAATCAGCTTTTGTGGTGAAGCTAGTTGAGGAGCCGAGGATTTAAATTAAAAATGAGAGGAACAGAAGTTTACAAGTTATCCGTTTTGTCCAACAGAAACGATTATAAGCAGGATAACGGTGAATCAAAATGTGCCACACGTGATGCAGCTAAGCATCAGGCCGTTGAATGTCACTATCCCATAAGTCAGTTTTGTGTTAATTGTTGCACCTTTTAACTCACCATTATCCTGCTTATAATCGTTAGTTTTGGCGAAGACGGATAAGTTGCAAACCTCTCTTTTTTCTAATTATCATGAAGCACCCTCCTTGTTGCAGCGGAGTGTCTGTGGCACAAATCATGCCGGATTTTAAAGTCACCATTGTACATGATTATGACTGCAGGCTCTGAGACTTTAATAGAATTGTGTGCACATACGTATGTTGGTACGGATAGGATTGTTTATACGAGTAGCATGTTGGTCAAGAGGGTGTGATCTTTATAGGCACGACATGTTAGTACATAAATGTTACATGTATGGGTCTGGTACGTTTTGCTGTGTAGGTATCGTGAGCAATGGGCAGCAATTCAACAGAAACCCTAGTCACAAACACAGCCAAAACCCATCATGGCACTGCTTCCTAACTACACTCATACCTCGGTTATCCGGACCCCCGGAGTTACAGGTACTTGGGTCTTGCGGGCAGCCTTAAGCTGAGTTTCTGTGGAAATATTAGTACCTTTCTGTCGCTTTTTTGTGTGGAAATACTGACGTCATAATGCCTGCGGCCTTTCCCCATCAAAACGTATGTGGTGAAAACTACACGATTCGGAGCTGCATACATTTTAAAGTCACAGCCAGTGATGGTTCCGAACCGCCCGGAAAAACAAGGTATGAGTATAATCATAAATTCCCGCTCACTGGTTAAGTACCTACCTGTGGCGGGTAAGGGAGCAATAGCGGACCAAACCAATATGGCCACCAGCACTAGGCTGAACGTATGGATTTGCGAAACCTGAAATGGCAAAAACGAGAAGAAGCCAAGAACACAAACATGGTGTCCTTGCTGTATCTAACACCATGGGGCACTCAACACACCCCATTCCATCCCCATTTTGCCCATTTACAATGCCTGATCGCAACGTCAACGCCGAGACCTCAGTTTTACATTGCATACATGAAGCACTGTGCTTGTACGTCAAGAGTCCAAAAACAAGAGCATGCAACTGCGATCTCTTTTCTATGGGCCAGATGCGCGGCGCGCTGCCTTCATTACATCATTCAGCTGCAGTCAGCGCACAACGGAAAATCAAACGCTGCACATTCCCTTTCGTTTGAAATAAACTTTTGTACGGAACTGGAGTACATGCGCCAACATTAAATTTTAGAGATCAAGTAGGTATTGGACCGAGTCGAGCCAAACCGGATGGGCTCGTACGAGAAACTGTGGGTTTGAGTGCATGCTTTCAGAGCGTGATGGAGGTAAGTTACGTAATGAAGGCAGCGCGCCGCGCACTGACCCCCACATCCACAGTTGCATACTCTTGTGTATGCACTCTTGATGTACGTGCTAAAAAGCAGCAGGGCCGTTGGCTCCGGTCATCCCATCGGATTTCAACGTCCACGAGTGTAGTAGTGGTAGGCTATTGCCATGAACTGCCCACTAGTGTCTGTTCATTATCAACTGCTCTTCCTGCTCTGTGGAGATCACCGTATTTCCGGAGTATGAGCTGCACTTTAAGGTTAAACACGAGTGATTCAGAACGGATCCACGAAAATATGTTTTCGTACAAACGTGAAATACTAGAATACTGATATTTTACAACTCCCTGTCTTGACTCTCCCTACCCGCGCACCTACTGCGAAAAAGTTCAGAAGTTGTGCGCAACCTTACGATTTACAAATCTTCCTTAGCTTTTTTCGGTAAAAAATATTCGTCACGGCACTACGAATTTTCGTTGTGCGCAACCTCTCTATTACTAGTAGCTTACGGACTGATCGTACGAGGGTAACGGGGTTTATGGATGGGCACATTCGGTGCTCAATGCCGACGGCAGGAGTTGACAGGCTCTGGCGTGGTAGAGCCGGTCAATGTACAGACTCACTACTATCGCAGTGTCCGGCGCCGAAGAACGGAGCGCCAAAGAACGGAGAGCCGGAGAACGGAGCGCCAAAGAACGGAGCGCCGAAGAACGGAGCGCCGAAGAGCGAACAGCCTAGAATTTCACCAAGCGCTGTTGTAAGCACGGGACTCCACCAGGCATACACTGTAGTACAATAATTATACATGAAAACCTGTGACTACCGACTATCCCTTCGTGCCAGCAAAAGAGGTCTTTAGTAGCAGGTGGTCTTTAATTGGAGCTTTGCACCGCGTGACCATATATGGATCCCATTATATGATATGTATGTCAAAATGCAGCTAATACCATTCCCCGGGACTGGCGCAATGTCATTCTTATTTCAGGTCAAACAACACTTGGAGAGAAAGACGGAGAGATGGATAAAGACAGAGAGAGTGAAGATTAATTTTTTGCAGACTTCAAATTCAGCTGCTACTTCTGAAGCCAGGAGTCAAACGTTCCCTGGGGAAGTTTCGTTTTGCGCTGGGCTTCAAATTTGTTCATGCGATCAATCGTACCGACTGTCCTTGTTGTGACTCCTCGATTGCTTGAACGCGATCCTTCAGCAGCAGGACCTTGTGGTGCTGCTTTGTTTCTGGATTCCTTTATGCCAGCGTCGATCCGCCTGTATGACTGGGGTGACAGAGCCGCCCAGTCTTCGTTTCTCCTCCGAGTAGTAATATCGATCAGACAGCGCTTTCGATGCGCTCTCCAAGACGTTTCCTATCATGTTTATTCTTGACAGCGCTTGAAATTTTGACAGGTGTAGTGCAGTCCACACCGACTCCATGGTCAAAATTACCTGCGTTCATTTGTTCAGCTGTAGTATCGAAAGATTCCTTACAGGACCATGGAAAATCAGCAAAATTTCAAGAAGGCTCTTCGAGAGAATGAAGTTGAAGACACCACTGCAGCTGTACATATGGTTGATAAATATGGTGGTAAAGACACACCTGGCAATATGGCGGTAAACACACGCCAAGAAGAAGATTGCCTGATGAGTCCAGCGGGGACGAAACGTACGTCGCAATCGAGCTATGTCGTTGCTGTGTCATCGTCTATGTGCCATGCGCTACTTGATGTACCAGCCTGCTATGCCGGATACCGCCAGCCATGCATCGACCAGGCGCCAGGCGCGAACTGATGGTGGTGGTGGTGAGAAGGAGAGCTCTGTGCCAGAACTTTGCAGCCTAGAGAGCGTGTGTGGGCAGGCGTGTGTTTACCGCCATATTGCTAGGTGTGTCTTTACCACCATATTTATCAACCATAAGGCTTTTCGAGCAACATTTGATTTCCCACATCGCGGTCGCTAGTTACGGGTCAAAACTCATCTTTGGGACAAGAAAAGGCGGTCGCTGGTCGCGTTAGTTACAGGTTTTACTGTATATGAAAATAAGAAAGGTCTAGGCTACGAGGCAGCGAGGTTGACCCATCTCCCAAGTACTTCGGCGACCGTTCAACAGTAACGTAATACCGGTACACACACACACTCACTTGACTAGGCCGTAAGCGTCGACTGTCGACTTCTCCGTAGTCGGGTGTTGCACTGCTGCGGAAGCAGCGCCTGTTCCGGCTTCGCCAAAGATGTTGTTACCGCTGTGGCCCAGTGTGGGGCTGGTCATGATTCTAAATGAACTACTAGCACATTCTACGTCAAATTTGAGTTGCGCTGTGGATACTGGCGATGTACTCAGTCTTTGAGCGGTGCACTAGAGGAGCTCAGTTCGCGAAATACTCATACTCACTGTAACGCAGGAAAAAGGAATTAGTTGGACGCACGTGTATTCCTGACCGAACCGAAGAGCATGCACCGCTGATTCGAAAATATTGAATTTCTATACTCGCCAAACACGAGCAAGGAAGGGAGACAAACATTGCTCAGTCGATGGGCTACCAGCTACAAAGGAAGAACTAAGACCTAGCTTAGGTTCCAGATAATGAGTCCTTGAAGGATTCTAGCAAACCTTACTGGACAGCGCGCTGCAGCAGTGCAGGGCGCGACCCAAATCCAAAGGCCGCCAAGAGGTGTGAACTGGGTCTACCAGAGAAGCTCTACATCATCAGCAAAGGCGGGCAGGGCAACACCTGAACACTACCACGACTACAAGATTTTAGACTCTACTGAGTACTGAGTCTGTGACTAGCGTTAGCAGTGGTTAGGACTGGTATCAAATATCGCCGCGACACCAAGCGCCTGCTAGTGTTAGATGTACAGACTGTCAGTCAGTCGTGGCCAAAGAAATCCAACCCACGTGCCAAAAGCAGCGCCATGGCTCATGCGGCCTGTTTTGAGGATATGGCCATCATTTTTTATAGCTATGTTTCGCATCGTCCGCACGCATACGTTTTGATTTTTTTCGGAAAAAAAAATTCGAACATGCACAATGAGTGTACGATCGTGCGAGTCATCAGTGTGGACAGGTTGCATACGGCGAAGCTGGGATTCAGAAATGGCCTCTAGCCTAGGCCAGCGTTGGTAAATCGTTTGTTCGGCATCTGGGAGCAATATTCTATGAGCTTACACCAGACCGCATTGATCGCCTAAGCTGAGAGGATGCGTTGTTCCGGAGCTCTTTGCACCGCTGCTGAAGTCTGAGTACAATATTCCAGCGAAGCACCATGACCAGCGGTTGCCTCCTCTGTCCAAAGTGAATATTTACTCATGCTGATAACCCAGATGTTGTGCTTCGATGTACGATTTTTCTTTCGAATGTACACCATGCACGAGCTATTGTGCTATGTACAGTGCATACACATCGATGATGATCATGATGAGCCTTTTTATTATTTTGCAACTTTTTATTTTTTTCCACCTCTCGCATATGATTCTGGAAGTTGAACTGACACGAAACATAGATATAAAAAAGGATGGCCTAATGCATGATGAATAGAATCTGATGTCATTGAAGTGGAAACGTTGCGTGGCTTTTGACTCGCGGTACGGATTTCTTTGGCCAAGACTGGAGAACGCCGTCAGTACCGTTGATCAGTGTCATGCAATGATTAATGTTATCGCATGAGCTAGTTGTCCACTAAACACAGGACAATGATAGTGTAGCGTAACTTGTAGTTCCTTGGTCGTTGTAGTTTCCTATTAACTAAGTTTTACATTCCAATTTCTCAACCTGAAGCCTCAGCTCTAGATTTCGGATCGGCTCAAGATTTGTGACCATACTCGTACTCAGAAGGCGAATACCCCCCCCCCCCCCCCCTTTCCTCGCTCCTCGCACACTCAAATTCAAAATGATAAAAATGCCTATTTTGTGTCCCGTTGATACTGTCGCTAGTAGGCTCACTACTCAGTCTGTCGCCCCTCGCTTCTCTTGGTACTATCCATCTCACCATACGATGAATCAAGGCCCTTTCTGGTTCGATCATTTAATTTATCTCGCAAGTGATCTCACGATCTGAACGCATCCTATCCGAACGATTCTGTTCAAATCGGGGGTAACGTACAAGTGCATACCGGTACCTCCCTATTCCTGCAGTGACCAGTCAATCTTAGGTTTATACGACCTCCTGATCGGGACTAGACCATCCTGGCTGTGAACCGACTTCTGATACCGATACATCACACCAGTATTCTACATCCTAGCTATGAATTTCCTACACTTCGCTAAGATCAGAAGGGATCTACCGGTATATTGAACAAGAAGATGTTCTTTTGTTCTTTTTCACGTTTCACGCGTAGCGACGAACTCGGCCATTTTGAAAATAGCTTGAACTGTCCGCATCTCCACTCTGGCCCAAGAGCGAAGTGTGGAGAGGTCCACAGTTCAACTTATTTTTCACTTTTAATCGACGTCATTGTTTTCCATCCCTATCGGACTTTGAGAGGTGCACAGATGACGACACGCGACGTGGGAAAGCACAGGCCCTCAGCGCAGTGAGTACGTTTCCTACACCTTGGCACACATTTTCTGTCACTACTGGAGGAACGTTTGTGTATCCCGTTGTACTTGTACACTAAGTCTTGTACTTGTTTTTTTTTTTTTTTTTTTTTTTTTTTTTTTTTTACTAACCCACCATTTTTTTTTTATACTAAAAATGTTTGGCACCTATGATCAGGGGATGGCCCACGCAGTCTTGTACTTGTACATGATTGTACTTTACATCAAGTTTTTTTTAACGCAAGTTCACACATGCGCGTTCGCTATTGGATTATACATGTACTATCGCGTTAAGAAAATATTATGGTAGGTAGGTTCGCACCTGCCCTGCCTCTACACGAACGAGCATCAAAATGGTTACAGGCAAGATACTCCTCACAGTGGCTCCCATCTGACAACTGCACAAGCGAGACGGAAGGTCAAACGCGCAGGCTATGCATTGTATGATTGACCAACAAAGTGTTGTGTGCAGTAGCGTCACCAAATGGCCGATAATGAGACACGCTCGTCTTGTGCATTTGTTGCCCCTCGCTTGCTTAGCTAACCGACTCAAGACATGCAGGACTAATTCAGAAAAAAACATCTAAAAGGGACGGTAACTAAAACTCAAATACCAACACCGTACCTAAAGCAGGTGTACATGGCCCTTGGCAGATTCCAGTAGTGTTAGAAAAATTGGTAGATTCTGCTCGAAACGCAATGAAATTGGCAGAACCACACAAACCGTAGTATGGCAGGTACTTCATAATAAACTCTGCTCCACTTTCTTATCTACATAGCAAACATGCATGAAGCATACTTCTACCAGAAAAATTACCAAATTCACCCAACCTATCTACCGTCACTATCCGCCAAGGTCTAGGTTTAGTCTTTAGATGTACATTTCCGCCTGGAGTTAGGCGGTGAAGCATATGTGCTGGATTTGATAATTACGTGAAAGAACCCCTTTGCTCTGTGCCTTGGTATCGTCACACACACACACACACACACACACACACACACACACACACACACACACACACACACACACACACACACACAAAACTGGAGCTTACCATTTTTGTTCCCAGGCGAGAAGGTGAACACAGGATAGACGATGTCAGCATAAAAATAACGTTCACCTGGATAGACTTCTGCAGCAAGGGTATCACACGTAGGTTTGTCACTGTTAGATGGCATTACACTGAGACGGAAGACTTGGCGTCACTGTTAGATGGCATTACACTGAGACGGAAGACTTGGCGTCAGGTTCAAAACTTACCGTACAGCCCAGTGTTTCTATCCCTTCACAACTAACTCTCAGGAGTAATGAGCGTAGTTCAGTCAGCGGAACAACTACATGGACAGGATTGCAACTGTTATTTATAGAACAAAATGGCGGACCACCGGGAATAAGGCGAATCCGTACAACAGTAGAAGCAGTGAAGCCCTTCATCTGCGTGTCACGTAACTGAGTTGGGCTAACGATATCCCACCGTGCGACAGCCCCGTGGATAGGCAT